ACTTTGCCTTGGTTTTTGTAAAAAATCGTACCTACCTTCAATTTTATCGATTTCTCTGCCAAATTCAGGGGATCTAGAGATTGAAAAGTTGGTCTTGACCTTAGTAAATTTAAAACATGTGTGCACAATTTCATCGTAATCGGTTGAGAAATGTAGACGTGCATAAATAGCATACACACACGCAGGCACACACAAACATCATATGCTTTATAGATAGAGATTAGTATTTATTCAGTTATGTATGCGTAATTTTTCCCACAAGTTTCCGCCATCTTTGGGGAAGCTTTATGAATCTATCTTCCCAGAGCTTAGCATCTTATTGAGTGATGAATTGATCTATGAGATTTTTTATAATTTTCAAGAGAATTGAAGTTCTTTTCATTAAGAAGATTTTGTGGGTGATCGGTAATCCGAGGGTGTCATGTCAGTTGACCTCATTCCGATTAACCAATTCTGAGCACTTTTCATTGATTGCTCTCTTTCAATAGCAGCAACAACTAAAATGGATAGAAAAAATAATGACATAATCAAGATCTTGAGCTCTTGAAAAAATATATTTCAATTGAGTATTGTTGAATGACAAGCTGATTCTATAAATAAAAATCACCTGCGTTAATGCAAAGCTCTTCAGCAAAATGAATAGAGCCCTATGGCTGATTGGCATTTGTTTACATTCGTAAAAACAATACGCTAGATTTAGCTGTTTCAATGTCGAATGAAGATAGCTCAGTGGTAGAAACTCTAACTGACACCAAAACGGTTGGGTTTCAATCCTGGCATTTGGATGTTTAGTCGCACCGAGGAGCTGCAAAACAGCACTGTCTGAGAATTATATATAATGTGCATGAATAATACTTTTGCTTTGAGGGAGGGTTCCTCACGGCAAAACAAGGACAACATTCCATATAAACATAGGTCCGCAAATCTTTCGCTTTTGAGCTATTAAGTTTAAAGTTCCTGGTAGACGCTGTTAAATGTGGAATCCAAGATATAATTCCAAAATAATTTTACAAAGTTTTGGGCGTGTTCCTGTCACAAAAACAAGATAAAATGTCCATATAAACATATGTCCAAAAGGCCATCGTTGCACACAACAACTCATAACAAATGTTCAAAATGTCCCCCGCTTGCTTCTACACACACATACACCCGCCGGATCATTGACTGGCGGACCCTTTCAAATAATTCCGCACGGTGTTGAATGGTTTTGCAGCCCCCCCATGATACGTTGATGAAGCGTCTTTGCATTATTAATGTCAGCTGCATAAACCAATTATTTAGTGTGACCCCTTTGATAAAAATTCAAATGATTGAGGTCAGGGGTACGTGCAGGCCATGGGACCAGTCCTCCCCTACCTCTCCATCTTTCATGGTAGAGGTCAGTCAGTGCAACACAAACAATGTGGTTAAAATGTGCTGGAGCCCCATCATTCGTTTTCATATTAACAGGGGTACATCACCTAGCAGGTCTGGAATAAATAAAACCTCTGTAGACAGCTCCTGTAAGACGTACATATGTATATGGGTGTACATATGTATCTACCAGACAGTCATATACAATTCCAGGCCACATATTAATCGCAAACTGATGCTGGTGTCTATCTTTTATCGTACCGCTGTTATTCCATCTTTCAAATGTTGCCTCATTCGTAAACAAGATGAAGACACAAAAACGGATCGGCAATTTGTGCAATAAACCATCGGAAAAAAGTTATCCTGAGGAGTGATCAGAGGGTGAAAGACACTGTGCAGTTTGCAAATGATACGGATACAGGAACTGCTCTTGATGTACCCCCCATGCTGCACTATGAGATGTACGACATGCTAGGGCCACTTGATGTATGCTGATATCTGGATCGTCTCTGACAGCCTCTGTAGAATTTTTTCTTCGTGGTACGATTGAATCTCAGTCTTCCTTGCCCCATAGTTTGTAGTGCCACGGATCCTGTCTCAGCAACGCGACAATAAACAGTAGCAAAGTTTTCATAACTCGGCTGCCTTCGATGTGGAAACGCAATCTAATACAGCCGTGCAGCCTGGCGTCCATTATCATTCGCGCTGCCGTATGTAAAAATCATATCTGTCTGATAAACGCAACACTTCTCTGTTAACTCACTACTACACACATTAAACGTTGAAGTCAGACTAGCCACAAATGTAGGCGAATGACAAATGTAGCTTAGTTTACATAGGCAAAACACTAAGTCGAAATATATGTAGACAGAAAGATGCTTTTTGCACAGTCCAAAATATATTCAGCTGTCAATAAATAGAATATTTAAAAAAAAAAATTAAAACAAACATCTTTCGGTCTACACATATTTCGTTTTAGTGTTTTCCTATTGTATGGCAAAATTTCACCCTGAAGATGATAATTTGAAATTGTCGAAAGTAATTGGCAAATATCTTCCATCTGACAACGACTCGAATATAAGGATCGTCTTCTTCAAGGAATTGATAGTAGGTTAATGTTTAATTAAGTCTTGTTAGCGAAGTGATTTCGCCATTAATGACATTAACATTGCTATTTAATTCTTTGTATAAATTGTTTCTTTATGATATAAAATATAGCCTGCACACTCGACTGAAGATACCAAAAGGTTGAAACCAAGGTAGCGTGATTGGCTTATTTTTAATCTCTCTCTCTCCCCCCTCTCTCTCTCTCTCTCTCTCTCTCTCTCTATATATATATATATATATATATATATATATATGTATAAAGTATATGTATGTCTGTTTGATGTCTAGATAGCGTGACCTGTCTACACGGCATTGAATATTGCTGCCACTTCTGGTATTTATTCCTCTTGGTATATATCTCGAGAATTTTGACAAAACAAGCGGAAAGCAGAATCTGCAATGTTATCAGTACGGAGCTGGCATCTCAACTTCTGTCACTTTCCCACCGTCGTAACTTAGCTTCTTTGTGTCATTTCTATAAATATTTTCATGGCAATTATTCTGATGAGCTTTTCTCTTTGAGTTCAGATGCAGTACTAGATTGGCTGATCGGCATCATCATTTTACTATTGAAATAGCTCGATGTAACCGTAAATTCGATGGCAATATTTTTTTTCAGTCGCACTTCTCGGTCGTGTGGTATTCTGTTCCGGCTTTTGCCACTTTTCTGTTAGCTACGATGTTTAAAGGTTCAAATGTTACAGAAAGCGACGTTTTCTTTTCTTTTCTTTTTAACTGGCTCTTTTATTGTCGTCTCACTAACATTTATCGCTTTCTTTCACTCTCAGTAATCTCTTGAGTCTTAGTGACTTTATCTCCTTGCTTGGTGGGAAATGATTAAAAAATGTTAGACAGACAGACAGATCGAGTCAACTCTTGCTGAAAAGTTCTTGTCTCGAACCACTACGCAAACGATGACTGGTCGGATCAGATATATATGTGTGTGTGTGTGTGTGTGTGTGTGTGGATAGATAGATAGATAGATAGATAGATAGATAGATAGATAGATAGATAGATAGATATGAAGAGACTGAGATAGATATGAATAGACTGCGATAGATATGAACAGACTGAGATAGATAGATAGATAGATAGATAGATAGATAGATAGATAGATATGAAGAGATTGAGATATATGAACACATCGCGATAGATAAATGAAGAGATTGACATAGATAGATATAAACAGACTGGTGATAGATAGATAGATATATAGATAGATAGATAGATAGATATGAACAGATTGCGATAAATATGAACAGACTGGTACTAGATAGATAGATAGATATGAAGGAATCGAGATATGATCAGAGATTTTCGCCTCCCATCTATATATATTTTTCTTTCTTTCCCTCCCTCTCTATCTATATATATAGAGAGAGAGAAAGAGAGAGAGGGTGGGGGGGGAGAGAAAGATGCTAATAACTGAAAGGGCATTAAAGTATATTTTCCTTTTATACTGTATTTTTTCTGAAGTCACACTTTTCTACACGTCCAGACACACACACACTTGCACGCACACACAGACGTATTTGAAAAGTAACGCACCCACGTTCTCCACTTCTCTCCCATTGTCGACCTCACCCCCTCTCCTTCCTGCTCCTTATACCCCTTCTCCCCCCTCTTCTGCAAGACTCACCCCGGCTTTTCATCTTTTCAAATACAATTTATCCAAATAGAGCTCTATTTTTTTTTTGCCTTTTATTTCTTTCTTTTCTTTTTTGACTATTGAGTAAAGAAACAAGATTCCCCAATGTCTGATTTAGACGGGCTTTGATCCGGACATTAACTTGACTGGTTTAAAGACTCATTGCAAGCTCTTTTGTCTTAATTAACCAGTGAATTCCAAGAGATTCACCACCACCTCCACCATTACCACCATCACAACTGCTACCGTCACAGTCCCCCATCGTTCCATTCACACAACCCTCACCATCCTAACCTTATCAGTCGTCATAGCTTTGACGCCCTCGTCGCCACCATCTGGTCAGATAGGGTTCCAGATAGAAACACAGACATACACACAAAACGTATTTCTTTTCCGTTTCTTTTCCCGCCGTTTTTCTCTGTATCAACGCATTGCCGCTGCTACTGTACAATATTAACAGCTGTTAATAGACTTTTCCAGCTTATTATTCATACTCTTTATTGTCGTTTCTAGTAGCAGCAACGTCTTCTTCTTGTGGCAAGCAAAGAGGAGAAACGGAACCGGCTCATGTGGCGAAGAAGATTCTATGTCGCTCAAGACAGCCTGCTCGACGCTGAACCGTTGATGACGTGTAGAAACCTTGGATTCCTCATTGGCTAAAATAGTCAGCACACACACACGCACACACACCCAAACAAAAAAAAAGGTACTTGTGAGTTATCCGTTTCCACTTTTAAATTAATTTCCCAAATTTCTCACGAATACAGATGTGTAAAAATTTGTTTGTAAAATTAAATTTCTCCAAATATCAAACATTATTAATCGTAATATTTGGTGGCATAAACTCAGCGATAACCAAAAGAATGGCGTCGACGCCATTCTCCCCATGAACTCGGCCAGGTAGGTATCAAGATTGTGTCGTGCTGTTCCTCAGTAACGCTTGTTTCTCCACTTTACTGATCCCTACCCGTGTTCGTTAATCTTAGTGTGGACTCCGGTATCTGAGTCAACGAAATTGTATCGATGATCAAGCATGCAATGTTGGAAGAGAGCATCCTCCAGCCCGGTGGTCTTATACATACTGTGGCGGACTTCATCACATTTATTTAACTTAGATTAGGAAACCAAACTGACGTGAAGAAAAAGAGGATAAGCCAAAGACACCATTACACATAAAATTTGTATTTAACAAGATGTACAAACAAGGATGTGAAAGAAAAGCAAGCATTGAGTAAAACAAGAGTTGTCTCTCTTTAACTATCAATGGTTCCAAAGTTCACTGAAAGCCATAGGGTTGTAATAGTTTCTGGTAATAAATGTTTTCAACAGTTTTGCTGTGTAAGAAAAAAATATTATGTGAGTATAGGGAATATTCAGCATGTGAATGGTGGTGTGAGTGAGAAGATTGGCGCATGGTTTCAACTGTCGTGGATTTCTGTGGCAGCTGAGATCTCACTGGTTTACTAAGAATTTTCTTTGCTTATATAGGTGATCATCGGCTCCGAAAGAGCTGCGCGGGAAGAATCAATCTTCACAATCTGATTCGTTGACATTAACCAATCAGCGAGCGAGCTTTGGGGAGACTCGCAAAAAGCTTCTGGGATCCGATTCTCCCAAAAGTGCACAACATCGACTACATGAAAATATAGCGATTATAAAATTGTCGTATTACACAGTAGTGTTGATTTACTATCCAATGAATGTTTGCTGTTGTATATAATTTAAATTTACATAAGTATGTATGTATGTGTGTGATGATGATGATGATGATCCTGATAATACCGCACCTAGCTTTTGTTGACAGATAACCCACCAGTATCCTCGAAACATTGTTCTTAGCTCTGGAAAGGAATTTTGCTATTTCTCTTTCAAACTTCTTCTAGATTGTATTATCGTCTTCATTGATTTTCTTTTCCAGGGTCATCACTATCCGCCATTAGACTGTTTGTACGATGGAGTTCACCCTCACAGAGGAGACTTAAGCCAGCAGAAATGTGGTTCTACAGGTGGGGGCATTCTGGGAATACCATGGACCGAACATGTGAGCAACGAAGAAGATTCAAAGCAAATAAAAGACAAAGGACACGTATATTTAACATAAGGAGCAGACAGTTGAAATTTCTAGGGTACATGATGAGACTGTGTGATTTGTTTGATAAACGGCATATCAACTTCTTGTAGGTCATTTAATACTAGAATTTAATTTTTGGGGGAGCGTGAAAATAATAATATTATATATGTTATTCTGTTTTCACAGTTGAATACATGGTAGATGATACTCAGCTTTTTCCCATGTACTTGTTTGTGAGGAGATAATTACCAGAGGCAGTAATATGTGTTATGTTATAATTTTGAAGAAGTTATGCTTTGGAATAGAGCTTGATTTAAGAAACTGTAGGATATTATATGTATTAATATCACCAAAGAATTATTTCATGTTCATTGTTTGGTAGGATTTAAAATGGATTTAGGTGAAGTCGCTACAGTTTGTTAGTATGTGCGTATTGTTGGTAATACTGCTAAAAATATGTATTGATAATTTTTTTATATAAAAATGTATTGCTTGTATTTTTACTATAAATATGTATTTTTATACTTTTATAGTGTTTTGTTTTTGCTTGTGGGTTCGTTCATTTTTGCCTATATCTGGGACCCTAACAGGTGCTAGCAGCCTGGATCAGTGTGAATTTGGAAACAATTGCATTCAAGAAGTGGTTCCTGATCAGAAGCCTTGCTGTTGGATGTAGTTTGCACTCAATGAGGAAAGAGTGAGTGGAAAATCTGATACAGGGCAGATTGGAGGCCAAAGTGGCTGGAGAAAGTATAACTTACTTGGTGAGCTTTCTCCTAAACCTTGTTCCAACATCCATTTACTCAAACCCATTCTTCTTCTATGTGCTGTTTCCCTTCAGGTCGTACGCAATCATGACCCTCCACAATTTCCTGACCTTTGTAACTCTCAATAAATTTTGTCTTTTTGTTATCTCTCCTAAACCTTGCTCCGCGAGGAAAATTGTCTAGCACGACACAATGAACCAACTTTCCTAGTCCTATCGGAAATTCCTTAATCGGAACCCCAACGCTGCATCACAGACAATTTTCTTCGTGTTTCTTTTTATTCGCTTATTTCTGTGGGCATATAGTAGTAAACGTCGTTTATTGGCGGAAGTAAGAGAAAGGCTTCAGTCACTTTCCCATTGCTATAATGTAGCTTCCCTATGTCTTTTCTATATAATTCCAAATAAGCGATCATTACAGACTCTCCCTGAGAGAAAGCTCAGCGATCACGATAGTTGAAAATTCAGGTTCGGCTCGCTGATAATCGAACATCAATAGTTTGCTTCTCGAGGCATTGAAAATGACCTGCTCTTTATACTGAGCTGTTAAAGCTTTTCTATAAATACTTTCATGGTAATTGTTCCGATGAAATGTACTCTATGGTAACTAAGCATTATGAATTTAATCGCTGTGTTAGATTGGCAGCAAGGTTACACCATTTGACAGTTGAAATGTCTCGATATAACCGGAGGTTCTAACCTGACCGTTTTTTCAATCGCTCTTCTGGCTTTTTGTTTCCCAGTTAACTTTGATCTTCAAAAATTCAAATGCACTGTCAATCGTTCTCGTTCTTTTATTAATCTCTCTTCTTAATAGTATATTCTTCACATATTCTCTAATGTGACAGAGAGAGAGAGAGAGAGAGAGAGAGAGAGAGAGAGAGAGAGAGAGTCTGGGAAACACACACACATATTTTTTAGTGAAATTGGAGTAGATTTGAATAGCGAAATTAGAACATTTTGTTTACTGATGGGGAAATCTGATCTAGGGCAGAAGTTGTACGCATTGAATCTGGGTTATCAGAGGAAAATGGAAAGGGTCGAAATAATTCTTATCGATTAAAAATTGAAATAGAGCTGAGTAAGCTAGAAGGAACTTTGGAATTCACATGATTTTGATTGAAGCAGCCAGAACCCCGTGATAATCGCGTGCGAAGTAGTAGGGTCGAGGGTCAGTTATAACCAGCCGGGTTTATCTATATAAACGCGTAGTTATGCTGAAAAAGACAGACGGGAGAAAATTCTTGAAGAGAGAAGAGAGAATTATCCCGGGCGTGCGTTGGGAGTAGGAAAGCCACTATAACTTTAAGCCCCGCACAGAAATCTTTATTCCGCCACCGAAGAGTCATATATCGTTCTGAGACGATTTAACAACAAGATAATCACCCACACTCTCTCTCTTTGTCTAGAATCCAGTGTATGAGTTTTTTTTTTTTTTTACTTTTCTTTTCTGTAACCCGTTTCTCTTCTCTACTATTCTTTTCTGCTATAGAAAAGACATTAACAATTCAACCATTGAATCGATGTTTGTCCGGCTTTCTGCAGATATTTATTTTTTTCTGTTGCATTCATAATTACTTAGCCTCTTACATCTTAGTGGCTTTATTTTTTTGCTTGGGGTAAAATGATTTAAAAAGATGATCAGCTGTCAAGTTCTGATCATCTTATACTAAAACTAAAACTGTCATTGGCCATGGTTAAATGGTATTAGCAATAATGCCCAACTAACCGAATTGACTAAAGTTTGCAATAAACAATAAGAGAAGTTAAAGAAAAGGGCAAAAATAATATTAAGCAAGTAGACAATATATCCCAAGGAAAGCAGCGGTAATGAGGCAAAAAGTTCACAGACAAAAGAGGATATGGATAAGCGATCGATCGCAGAGTTCTAGCTTCAAGACAAAACCGGAACTGAGTCAGCTGATACCGAGAAGTGAACTATCCTATTGGTTAAGAAAACAATCTCAGCTTACATCTCTGTGGGTTTTGCCTAAATTTGAGGAGGGGGGCGTTTTTTGCAATCTTTCCAATACATGATTGAAACAAACATAAACAAAGACAATTCATAACTCAGGATTTCGCACCCACATACTTCTGATCAGTACTTTTTCTAATCGTTTCACCCCAAGTAAGGCGACAATGCCACTAAGACGCATTTGGGGTGGGGGTGTACAGAGCGTGAAAGTGAAAGAGAATGAGAAGACTGGGAATAAGGACAATTGAAGAAAGGAAAAAAAATGGAACCGTGTTCAAAAAGACAGAAGATGGCGATTGACATTTCATTTAAATTTTTAAACATTGTAGTTATCAGGGAAGCAAGAAATCAGAAGGGAGTTTCACAGTTGGGAAGTGCGAGTAAAGAATCTGTTAGAAATGGCTTGTTTTATTTGTGTGGTTTTGTTTAGTGGCATATCAAAACCTCCATGGTTTATTTAATGCTGAAATCTAAATATTTTAACACAATTTATGACTTCAAGTAATATATTATACATGCAATTGCATACTTTCAACTACAGATAAAATGTATTGTTTTCATTTTTCTATAAAATATATTATTGGTAATTCTATAATAGAATGTATATCCGGACATTTTGCTTTCAAAATGTATTGATGGTAATTTTACTATAAATAGATATTGTTGGTAATTTTGCTAATCTACCAAATATACTATTGGTATTTTTTACTATAAAAATGTATTTTTATACTTTCAACGTATCTCGTTTTTGTTTGGTGCACTAATTGACCATAAAAGGTGTTACCACTTCGGGTCAGGGTGGACCTGGGAACAATTAAGAGGCAGTTTCACGATCCACAAAACCTCCAATCTCCCGATCAGATGCCTTGCTGCCGGATGTAGAAGTTGCGTTTGTATCTAGATAATTCACTAGTTACATAGAGTGACCTCGCTCCCAATTTAGTAGGGCGCTTAAATCTGTGTAGTCTGGGTAAAAATGCTCATCCAAGCAGTTGCCATAAAAATCTTTGTAGAACAGAAGAAAAGACGTGACATCGGTAAGAAAGTGACTGGTAGAGTTTCTCCTTTTTGTCTCGCCTACATTTTGCTCAGCTCAAGCGAAAAATGTTTGCACCTTTAAAGCATTTTCTGCTTCGAAAACCTGTCATACTGATATACATTTATCGAATCACTTATCCGATAATCTTGACAGCTAAACTGACTTGATTTCGCTTTTTTATCAGTGATGACATATTGAAATATACTTTCAAAATTAGTTTTGTGTTTTTAATCTCTTGTGCGTTCGTTGTAAATTAATGTCATGCTCTGCATATGGCATTGTTGGATTATTTTCTCTCTTCTGGTTTATTTTGTTTTACGGTATATCAACCTCAATGAGTTATTTAATGCCGACAAGATTTTTATTGCTGCTAATTTTTTTTTTTTTTAAAGTATTTTTGTGAATATATTTTTTCTTCAAAAATTCATTGCTGGCAATATTTTTTTCCTTGAAAAATGTATGAATGAAATGTAAGAATTTTTCATCAAAAATTTATTGCTGGTAATAATTTTTTACAAAAATGTATTGCTGGTATTAAACCTATTTTTACACTTTCATATTTTTTTGACTCCAGTTTGGGTGTTAACTATTTGCCCATAGCTGGGACCCTAACAGGTGCTACCACCCCGGGTCAGGGTGGACCAGGGAACAAAAGCAATTAAGAGGTGGTTTCACGCACCTCAAAACCTCCTGATCAGAGGCCTTGTTTGTTTATCGTCTTACCCAGGACGTTCTCTCTCTTCTAAATGTTATCCCAATTCCTGTTGGTCTGGGTTTTTGTTTTTTTTAATTATTTTACGTTTTAAATGATCGTAATCCCTAAGTGATCCTTTTCCACATTTGAGCCTTATTTAAAAATACAAAAAAAAAAAAGAAAGTTTTGCAAGGTATAAACTGATATCGTTATATTTTCTTCTATTCAAACAATTTTTCCTGTAAGAATCTCACATATTTATAAATCTACTATTTCTCTAAGCTTTGGATATTGTTCTTACCTCTCGTTTGGTGTTCATGCTATGTATTTAGAGAGACTTGATCGGATACAGAGAAGAATCTGCAATAATATTTGTCATGACCTGGCATCTTTAGTCACTTGCTCACCGCTATAACATAGCTTCCCTCGACTTTTTTTATTAATACTTTCATGATAAATGTTTTGATGAACTTTCTGTTATGCTACCTAGGTTTTATGAATGTAAACGCAGTACTAGATTGGCGGAAAGGTCTCATCAGTTCACAGTTGAATTGGCTAGATGTACCCGTACGTTCTATGCTAACAATTTCTTCTCTCGCACTTCTGGCCTGTGGAAATCTCTTGCCTCACAGTTAACTTTGATCTTCGAAAATTTAAATGCAATGTCAATCGTTGTCTTCTACCTTCTTAATTCTTTCTCTATCATTGGTTTCTCTCCTTAATAGTGTTTTTTGTTTAATAATATTCGCTCACACTCATTAACCTGTTGCCTCCTCGTGGCTTTATTCCCTTGCTTGGGGTGGAATGATAAAAAAAGAAACGTTGTGAGTAAATTCAGTGGTTTTGCCGCCCAGTTTGCTATAGTCCCTTTCTAACTCCTTTCCAAAGGTATTCGAAACTCTTCCAAGTGCGCCAATTATGATGGATACGATAGTTATGCTCATACTCCACATATATTAGCAGGCAAGAAGCAAGTATTTCCCTGCCTTTTAGCATTTTTCACTTTTATTCTGTATCCTGACAGAGATATCATCCATTAATTTTTCCTTTTTTTCCTTTACACATAACATTTAATCCAGGTACCTCCCCAGAAACGCGATACCTGAGGTTTGAAATAAATTTTTAAATAGGAAAAAAATTATTTTACTTTCAAGCTAATAGATTAAATTTAATATTTCCTATAAGCAAAATACTTTTTCTATATTTCAAAACTAATTTAAATTGACTGGAAGGAGTTTTCGTTTTGAAATTGTTAAGACAGCTGATTTTACCGCCATTTTTCGACATCTGTCATCACGATGTAATTGATTTTATAAAGAAATCTTCCAAAAATAAAATATGCTTTTCTGAAACATTATTTGAAGAATATTAGCTGATTTAAAGTTAAATTAATCTGATTTTGAACAAATATTATTTAATTTAAGTTTAAAATATTGCAGAAATTCTTTTTTAACACGGTGGTAACTGTTTATTTTAGGTGCTAACAGGTTGACAGTTTAACTGACAAACGGGAGATTATCTAATTTTATCTAAGGTGGTTATATCTGTAAAAATTACTTGAGGAACCTAACATGAGCACATATCTTATATAATTTTAAACTACCCAGTAATCTAATATTCTCTGTTATCTAATGTTTTATTGGTACTTTGGCTTTAAATTTACTATAGTTGTCGTTTTTATTCTCTGATAATGTTGTATATGGACAGACATATTTACAAACATCGACACGGTTATAAAGAAACAAAAAAAAATCAAAATTCAAAAAAATTTGGCGAGTCGCTAAATTTTAATAAACTTTCCCATTTATGATTAATAAATATAGTTTTACTTTATAAAAACCTAACTTCTGCAAAGACAGAATTTTTAAAGATTTAAATGTTTATAAATTATTATAATTAAAATAAAAAAAAATGAAAACCGTTCTTTTAAAAATTCATTATTCATCGAAAATTTTGTTTCTTAAGACAATAGTTTTCATATCTGTTATGTGACCTTACCCATAATAACATAATGGACTATTCCATACGTAATAAATACTGTGCCTCAAGAGGAAGCAGGGAGTTCAGTCCGAACTCGGGCGACCGGCTGACTGGCTGATCGGTTGAACTCTCTGCCGAAGGGCGGAGTCTCTTTCGGGGAGGTGAACCGAACCTGAACCCGTTTATACGGGTTCAAAGGTCATATTTTTGGCCGAGCCCACGGGCTTTGAGATCCCACGTTGAACCGGCCTCGTGCCACATGATTTCCTCGTGGGGTGGGGGGTGACTAAATACTGTTCAGTCCGAACTCGGGCGACCGGCGGACCGGCTGATCGGTTGAACTCTCTGCCTTCGGGCGGGGAGGAACCCGAACGAGGCTCCGCCGAAGGGCGAAGTCTCTTTCGGGGAGGTAGACCGACCCTGAACCCGTTTATACGGGTTCAAAGGGCATATTTTGGGCCGAGCCCACGGGGGTGACTAAATACTGTTCAGTCTGAAGTCTGGAGTGAAGTCAGTCAGAGCGAGCGAGTCAGTCAGTCGAGTCAGAGGCAGTTCGAAACAGAGTCGTGTTCAGACAATTACTACAAGACATTGGAATAGTGATACTGGTCGAGACTACATTGTTCTCCATATTAAACCTGATTATTCGTACTAACACTTTCTACTTCTCTGTATATATTACTGTTTGTAATATATCTGTGTTATTCCATATCCGTGTTCGAGTTCTTCTTTATTGGTTCTACCTTGGACCATCACCGTGGTACAAGGACCTGGGCCATAACAATATCTTAATTATATAAGGAATTAAAAGATTTTCTAATGATACAATGTCTAATTTATATTGAATTTTTATTTTAAGATTCAGAGCAGATTTTAGATAACTGTTTCTGAACTGTTAAAAAAAGAAATTGATTTAAATTCTCCATAGAGTCCTAATTTTAATTAATGTAAACATTAATTAATTGGGGTAACAGATGTAAAAAAAAAAAAACATTTTTTACGAACATTTTCCAAAAACATTTCAAAAGTAATTTCATTCATGAATTTGCGAATAAGTTCTGAGAAGTTTCATTAAAATCCAACAATTATTTGATTTTTGCAAGAATTTCCAAACCAACGTGTTTTTCACCGCAAAAAAAGACGCCAAAATTTCCTAAGCTAATCCCTGCCTCCTCTCCTTACCCCGCTGATACAAAAAAAAAATCGAACTTTCTAAAAAAGATAAAAAATGTCATTTAATAATCAATCGATAAATTGATTTTTATTAAGTTTGGATCATTTTTTCATTATGTTATGCTCATTTTTTTGCGAATCACAGGACCTACCTAAATTTACTGTTTTTTTTTTTAATTCTTTTCTATCTCCAAGTACAGATTCTCATTCGTTTATATATCACTGATATGCATTGGATTAACTTCCATATTCAATCAAGTCGACAGTTGAAGTTCTTTTGAGACAACTTGTTTCATTATTTGCTGAATAACGCATGTACAAATATTCTCAGCTCTTGAGAAATCGATTTCTGTCGAGTACTTCATGAATTTATGGGTCCGCTCTATATACAATAGAAATTCATAGTAAATCGATTCAAGCTCTAAAAACGTTTTCTAGCAATGCTACAGTCAGATAATCGATATATTTCATAATTAGGGAGTCCTAATATTCGACAAAAACTCGACTTTATATGAAGAAAGCCTTAAGAAGGCTTTTTTTTTTTAAATTTGCACCATAACGTTAACAAACCACGGAGTTCGTATACGAATATACATTATTCCGAATTAGGGTCCTTAAATAAAGTTTCATTGGCGAAATAATATTCTTGTACATAGAAATGTGTAGATTGGATATTATTATTACTATTATTATTGTCTCAATTCGACATTAAGATTTCATTTAAAAAGCCAACTGAATTTCCAATGTTAAATTTCTTTCTTTTTTAATCGCCTTCACTCTTCGGCAATTTTTTTTTTTTTTTTTTTTAAGACTCATCCAACTCTTTCCGAATCCTCTGCTCTGTACTCAGATTGACACCCAAAAATGCTGAAAATGTTCGTGTTGGAGCTTCCGGTGCAAATGACAAGCAGTACAACATGTTGTTTCCAAATGTCTGGCAGAGTGAAAAGCGTCATGGTGCTCTTTTTCTTACAGACGGTACCCAATTGACCCCACTATATTGTGCAATCGACAAAGTCAAAACAAACAACGCGCATGCGCGAAATTAAAAATAAAAATGGCGACAATTTATCCATCATACTCTGTGTATGGTATATATATATATATATATATATATATATATATATATATATATATATATATATATTACAATGAATCATTCATACAAAAAAGTAATGATATAAAATCCCATTTAATTTTTTTCGTCGGATGCTACCTGAATTTTAACAAAGACAAAATAATTTCCATGCCTGAAGATGCCTGAAGATGACTGAATGTACAGTTGAAAGTACTTGCGTATTAAAGATAGACCTTATGCAGCTTATAATTTTTTAAAATAAGGATAATAACATTCATCGAGTGATTTTTAGGTTAATTTTGTTTATATCATTAACTTTACTAATCTACTTTTTGTATGAATGATTCATTGTAATATAAATTGAACTGCACCACATTTTATATATATATATATATATATATATATATATATATATATATATATATATAAATGAACATTGAAGTCAACACTTTGAGGCGACAGGCTGTTTCATGCTAAGCGCAATCTTCAGGCCTGGCGATTGCGCCTAGCATGAAACAGCCTGTCGCCTCTAATTGTTGACATCAATGTTCGTTTTATATTTATACACGCTCTGATATTAAGCACTTTATCCCATAAATATAGCACACCTTAAGAGTATATTTCTTCATATATATATATATATATATATATATATATATATATATATATATATATATATATATATTAAATTTGAAGAAGGTAATGATTCCTATCCAAAATATAGAAGGAGAAAGCCAAAAGATGGAGGTCAGATCGGCAATATCATTGAGTAATATATAAATGTATCATTTTCTTCCACAGATTATTAGAATGATTTAAAATCAATGATCATTTACTGACAAAAAATGTGTGACATGCAGCAAGGCACGGTTATTTCAGCTAGTGATTATATAATAACAATCCGAGAAAATATTATTTGAACCTTCCTAGTATTATTCATTTATACCAGAAAAATGTAATGAATAGAATAAAAGTTGCATCGTTTTTGCTTTTTATTTTATATTGATTTTGTAGAAATATATGTCCATGAAAATGGCGTTTTGGTAATCCTTGGAGTGGTTTCTCTGCAAAGTCACTTGCCTCATCATCATAATGGCGTTGTTCTACGTATTTCAGTTGACTATTATGAAGAGTACTTAAACTTTATGCTCATATCAAAAGATTAACTCAAGGTGTGAGTAAGTTATGCCTAAAAGGAAAGTTAGCCGGTAAGAAAAGCAAAGGTCAATAGACAAAACGTTGGTTTAATAATAATGTCCACTGATGAATTGGAATTGACCTTTACTCTTTGAACTCTGCTATTAGTGATGGAACCTTGTGAAGAAGAATATCTCAGGTTGATGCGGAGTCTGTAACAAGCGGAGTAAGTGACTAATGATGATATTGCATAAGTTAATTTTATAGCAATGACTTTTAACATAAGTGACTAATTGAAAAATGTAACCATAATAAATATAAAACTAAAATGAAAATGTAAAAAAAATCAAAAATAAACTAGACAGATATCCCGGCAGTCTCCCGTGGCGTGGAATGTGATTACTGTTTCATTTTTTTTTTCACTGAAAACTTTCCGCGTACCGGCAGATGATGGTACGCGTACCACATTTTGAGTAGGACTGCTGTAGAGTACAGACGTCAATATGGCGGGAGTCGGTGAGCATCGGGAAATTTCTTTTTCCAGCCAACAGGCACTCGGTGCATACGCGTATCCGGGGAGTCGGCCCGATCTGACCCCTAACAAGCACTCTCCTCTCACTGAGAGCATCGATTTTCAACCACCCCCCACTCTCTCTCCATTTCTCTCTTCAGTCCCTTTCTCGCTCTTGCACATATACTCCTCCTCTCTGTCTCCTTCACTCCCCGCTTCTCATTTTTGGATGATAGAAAAGAATCTCTTGTTTGGTTCACCCCCTCCCATACACTACTCACTACCCCCATTTCACATCATATAACACAATCTTTGCCGGAGACATCAATGCGAACGAAGATATTTATGTTAACAACAGATCTACTTCCAAATCCCATTGCTTTAAGTTTACCCACCCCCTTTACCTACCCGTAACAATTCCAGGCTATTATTATGTCCATAAAGGCCGGACGGTGTGGTAAAAAAACAAAACACTTCTTCGTTGTTGTCAGACACGCGCTCACGAAGAAGGCCGTTTTACAACACGTGCGCCTGTGATGTTTGTGTTCAGAGGCAAATCCTTTGTTTGTTGTTCGTTTATGGACTTAGATATGGGGTCGGGCGGGCAGCCCTGCTTATATGTAGCTGCGTTAGTATCTACATACCTATATATATATATATATATATATGTGTGTGTGTGTTTATACGCGTTTATTAAGTTGCGATATGTGTTTATTAGGGAGCAACTTTCAGCGTGAGAATACAGAAAGGAATCTAAATACGCCACTGTACGTATATTGCGTATCTAATCTATCTGATGTCTGTATGTTGTGTGCGTAAGAGGGAGAGAGGGAGAAAGAAAGAGAGAGAGAGAGAAAGAGAGGGAGAAAGAAAGAGAGAAAGAGAGAGAGAGAAACAAAGAGAGAGAGAAAGAGCGAAAGTGTTTTAAGTGCACTTATCGATGTGTGCGAATGTAGTTTTGTAGCCATTTAGATATATAGATATGCTTACGTAAATACTCATGAACGTTTCTCTCTGTGTGTATGCGTGTTCACATGCCTATTTGCGTAGAAATTTAAGCTTGCGTACGTCAGATTTTAAAGGAAGCCGTATGTGAGGGTGCAATTATAGGCACACAGTGAGAATCAATCTGTATACAACAACGAATATTTTATGAAACGAACTCTATAATCTAAAAAATAATTACCCAGAGAGAAACACACACACAAACTCGTACACACACACAAACGAACACTGGTTGCCACTATTGTAATGTCAACGAATACTCGTTGTCACTTTCGTAATGCTCGTTAGTGTCAGTTCAGTTATGTGCCATGCGTGATACACGCTTAGGCGATCATGTATCTTTCGATACATGACTGACGAGGCAGATTTTTTCCCGGAGTAGATTGCCATTTCTTTCTGCGGTAGACCAGTTGCCATCCAAGGCTATAGGACCCGTTCTGTCCTGCGATTTACCCATAGCTAGGCGAGGAGTGGGGAGAGGAGGAGGGCTCATATCTTTCACAGTGATATTAGCACGTAAGTGAATGTAATGAATTCGACTGGAATACGAACTCGGCTCTCCGATTCCTCAATCCGAGCCGCCGTTGTTTTAGTAGAGACTTTGTAATTGCAGATATAACTATAGTACGCCTTTGAACAAAGCTAGTGTCAGACGCCTTTGAGTAACACTCGCACTAATAGAAATTGGTCGATATTTACTTATAATGCACGCTCGAAAATAATCATCGAATAGTAATCCGTATAGAGAAATAGAATTGTGAATAGAGTAGAGAATAGCGGTCCGTATAGTAATAGAGGATAGACTAGGAATAGTGATCAATAGTAATAGAGGGTAGAGTAGAAATGGCGATCCGTATAGTATAGAGGATAAACTAGAAAAGGCGATCCTTTAGACGTCACGCGACTTCCTATATAGGCGTTCCCTCTATGGTCATTCAATTAATTCAATAATGGGATCGCCTGTGTTTGCTCACTGGCGATTTATGTTCAAACTCAAGTGTCGGCAGCGACACTTTATTCCTCTCTCTCTCTCTCTCTCTCCATATATATATATATATATATATATATATATATATATATATATATATATAAATTCATGAATCATTCATACAAAAAACAAATATAGAGATTAATGATTTAAATGGCGAGAATACATCTTCGCAAACAATAAGGTCACTAGGTACACTAACCCCGAACCTGTATATGAATGATATAATGCAACTGGAATTTATAAACAGGGATCATATCATTCATATACAGGTTCAGGGTTAGTGTACCTTATTGAAATTGTTTGCGCAGATGTATTCTCGCCATTTAAATCATTAACCTCTATATTTGTTTTTTGTATGAATGATTCATGAATTTATAAATTATAATTGCACCTTTAATTGAAATATATATATATATATATATATATATATATATAGAGAGAGAGAGAGAGAGAGATGACGTGCCTTGACCTCTCCATGACGTTATATCTCATTTCCCCCTAGCAAAGAAATAATGAATAATGCCACTGACAATAAGGAGTTACTAGGAGTGAAAGAGAATGAGAAGACTTTAATGAGGAGAAAATACAATAAGCGAACAAGTATCAGGAAAAACAGAAGATGTCAATTGACGTTTCATATTTGATGGTCGTAGGCAGCAGGGAAGCAAGAAATCGTAAGAGATTTCCGCAGGTGTGAAGTGCGAGAAAAGAAATTAGCATAGAGCATACACGGTTACGTCTAGCTATTTGAACGATAGATTGATGATGCTTAGTTGCAGTTTATTAGTACGCTTAAATTTGTGCGATCAAGGTATGAAGGAGGAGAGCCTATTAGGACAATAGCCATGAAAATATTTATAGAAAAGACAGAGGGAGGTGGAAAAGTGATTGAAGTCGAGATGCCATATGAAGACCGATAACATTACAGACCCTTATTTGAATTTTTTCATGAATCAGGAGATTATATAGTAGGAATACCAGACCAGATATGGCAGCAATATTAAATACACTGCCGAATGGTATATGTATAATTGTGCAAGATTTTGTCATGGCACAGTGAATCAACATACCTACCAGCAGACTTAGCAATTGTTTCAATATAATCATTCTGTGACGAAAGACATGACTTAACTCGGAATCCGAAACGAGCACGAACGTGTCTTGCCTGCAAAGTGATGACAAAAAGAAATATGGCCGCTATTGAAGACACAATTTATGCGCGCCGATCTCGTCCAAAACGAGACGATATTTGCACACATGCAAATTTTGGCCGTACTGGAATAGCATAAAAAGCGGGATGCCAGTAGCAGGACAGAACCGATGTCATTCGGCGGACTGCGTGCAACAGAGCTGGACGTACGGATTGACAAACGGACAAAGAGGAAGTCGAAGTAGGCGCGGCTGAGCTAGTGTCTGTTTCACAACTGACCAGTGTAACGGCTGAGAAACGGAGTCACGCAATCTATTTCATTGAGGTGACTGAAGAAGAAGAAAAAATAGCTGGCCTACCGGCGAGCACAGCATTGCACTTTTTGACCCCCGCCCCTCATCACCATTTTTTTTCTACGCATTCCATTTCATGTCAGCGGAAAACGTGAGACCAAGAAGGTGAAATGAGTTTTTCTCCTGTAGGGTAGCAAAGGCCATGCCGATGGGGGTGGGTCGAAAGAAGGAGGCTCTATGATTATTAAAATATAACACTATCGTTTCGGAGACATTAAAACTTACAAACTGATTGGAGGTCATTTTCGAGAGCAGCTGACAATTTTTGTCTGACCCAACAGACTTACTATCAAGACAGGAGTAAATAATTATGTCATCAGCATATATACCTAGATGGGAACTGATGAATGGTGGGTGTGTATGTCTGTATGTGTGTGTGTGTGAGAGAGAGAGAGAGAGGGGGGAAGAGAAAGAGAGAGAGAGAGAGAGTTATCGGTAAATACTTAGTACTGTTAAACATTTATTAACAGAAACGATGCAATAAAGTGGATTATCTAAACTTAGCTTGATCTCTCATATTTATTTCCCTTACTCTTTTGATCCGGTTACTTAACCTTTTAATATGTGATGGGCTGATTGTTCCAAGCGGAGGTTTTAACATTTTGGATATGGCTTTCGTCCGTTTGTGGAGAGCGCTACCAATTCCTGTTAGAATGGGGTACATATGAATACCTGTTTTGTGGGTTATAGGAAAATCATAATTTTAGTCTATTCTAGAATGGTGTATTCTATTAGTTTATACCATGACTTCTTTTCATTACTAAATCATTTTCTGTTTACTCTCTTAAATTTCTGTTCCTGTAATTATTTTGTGTTAGTCTATTTTCTCAAAAGTGTTAATATCTTTGCGCAGTAATTTCATTTTATCATTGTATGTTCTCCTATTCATCATGACAATTTCAACTTCCTTGTTCAATGAGTTTATGCGAATATCTTTATTTTTATTGATTTCTTTCTTTATGGCTTGCCAACCTTTTGCTGGTTATTTTAAAGACATAAAATATTTTTAGATCGTAAGAATATTTTGGGGGATAAAAATGATCGTTACCGATACAAGTTCAACTAATTAACCCATAGCTTGGGGAGAAGAGATGGATTCATACCTTACCCACACCGCGTAAGTGAATACAACAAACTCAACTGAAACTAGAACGCCATTATGCATTACACCACACGCATATCAATGCTTAGCGCACCTGGTATAGCCAATTGGTACTGAGCAGTCTCGACGTTGCTTAACTTCGGTGATCTTAGTATTAACCGAGCTTTCAGCATGATATAGCCGTATACTTATCCATTACACTACCCACACATATAAGTTTACAGCGTTCGGTATTCCTAAGCGGTCACCCATCTATGTACTGAGCAGGCTCGACGTTGCTTAACTTCGGTGATCTTAGTATTAACCGAGCTTTCAGCTTGATATAACCGTATACTTATTTATTACACTACCCACACATATAAGTTTACAGCGTTGGGTATTCCTAAGCGGTCACCCATATAAGCAGGCTCGACGTTGCTTAACTTCGGTGATCTTAGCATTAACCGGGCTTTCAACATGATATAGCCGTATGCTTATCCATTACACTACCCACACATCCAAGTTTACAGCGCTTGGTATTCCTAAGCGGTCACCCATTTATGTACTGAGCATACTCGACGTTGACGAATCTCAGCACTAGGTATATCCACACCGCCTTCAGAAGGTTGGAAGTAACACATCTCATGTTGTTCTTGCCGCCCCACAAGAGGAAGAACAAGACCCTTACTAGATCAATTAGTATGGTATACGGGAGTGTAAGTACGGAGAGTCGGTAAATGAGAATTAGGTATATATGCGAAGCACAAAATTCCGCTATCTCTTTTAACGAAAGATTCCTCCTGGAACCATAGACTGCGACCTCGATTTCTGCACATCCATCCAATTCATTTGCAACTGGAGATCGGGGACAAACCACGGACTGAGAATCTAGACCGGCTCGCCCGGCCAGAGGGATGGCCCGAGAAGATAAATTCCCTTCCACGCGCTCAGCCGCAAGCCAACAAACTTATCGAAGTTGATCTTGGCCCCTGTTATCCTAACGTACCTTCTGATCTCTTTGCCGACTTCGTCAATCTCGGCTCAGCTCGGCACAAGAATCAAAACGTCGTCGGCATAGGCAGAGTACCTGTCCGAGGCGATAGCACCGGTTAAGTTAATTCCGCGTTGGACCGAATTCGCCTTTAACTCGCGAAAGAAATGTTACAATGCAAGAACGTAAAGCAAAGGCGAAAGTGGACAATCTTGACGAATGGAGTGAGACAACGTGAAAGGTTCCCATCGTATCCCGTTCACTTCCACCAGCGCACGTGTGACACATACAGAAGTCGGATCCAGGTGCGAAATTACGGCCCGAAACCGGTTGCCACAAGAACAGCTTCTTAAAATCGATTGTCATGGATTGCCTTGGACTGAACTAAACTGATCAG